GGCACTCTACCCAGGGGAACAGCTTGAGGCTCTGTCTCAAAAAAAAAAAAAAAAAAAAAAAGAGATATAGATTAGAAATTATATTTACAGGCAAAAAGTCAGTGGAAGGTGCAAGACCATTTAGATCCTCATACTTCATATACAATTGTAGTGTGTTTTGAGTTCTGTGGATACGGTTAATATTTTGCAGGTGTGAGCTACTGATGATTAGATGGCATTTGATTTCTTTACATCTATTTTCTCTAATTTCTTTGGTAATTTGAAAAGCCTTCATCTCCATTATTGCACATTGTCAGAGGTCAAATAATTTGGTTTTACTCCTTCTACTGAAATTACTGGGTTTAAGTGACAGTGTGTTTAGTTTAACACACTGCTTTTATTATCTCTTAACTCAGCCAGTTTTCTGACTTGGAGTTCTACGCAGCAGTTCTCAACCTGTGGGTTGTGACTCCTTTGGGGGTCGAACAACCCTTTCACAGGGGTTGCCTAAGACCATCCTGCACATTACAATTAACAACAGTGGCAAAATTAGTTATGAAATAGCAATGAAAATAATTTTATGGTTGGGGGTCACCACAACATGGGGAACTGTATTAAAGGGTCGTGGCATTAGGAAGGTTGAGAACCACTGTACTATAGAGTGTCCCAAGGGCCTAACAGGTAGGCTGAGTTAAGAAAAGAGGAGTTATTCCCACAGAAAGGTTATATTACATAGGTGATTATATATTGCATAGGTGTATGATGTATGGCATTGGTTGAGTCCATAGTAGTATAGTAACATTTCCCGTTTTCTGAGCTTGAGTAAGTAATGCCAGAGTTCGGCGGAGATCTCAGGAACAGTGGTGTTGCTAAACTGAGCTAGACCCACAGATTAGTTGGAGGAACATTCACTAGTGCATTGAGTCTCTGAATTTCTTTTCCCTTTCATTTTTTCTCCTTTTCTCCTTTTTTCTTTTCCTACTTTCCCCTTCTTCTTCTTCCTTCTTTTTTTTTTTTTGAAACAGTCTTACTTTTTTGCCCTCACCCCTGGTAGAGTGCCATGGCATCACAGTTCACAGCAAACTCAAACTTTTGGGTTCAAGTGATCCCTCTTGTCTCAGCCTCCTTAGTGTCTGGTACTATAGGCACCCACCACAACGCCTGGCTATTAATTTTTAGAGATGGGGTCTCACTCTTGTTCAGGCTGGTCCTCAAACTCCCGAGCTCAGGCAATCCACCCACCTTCCAAAGACACTATGCCTGGCTTTTTTTTCTTAAATTTAAATATTTTGCAACAGGATCTTGCTCTGTTGCCTTGGCTAGAGTGCTGTGGCATCATCATACCTCACTGTAACCTTTTAAGGCCTTGAATCAAGTGATCTTCCTGCCTCACCCTCCCAAGAAGGTGGAACTACAGGCATGCACTACCACACTTGATGAATTTTTTCTATTTTTTGTAGAGATAGGGTCTTCCTATATTGCTCAGGCTGATCTTGAAATCCTGCCCTCAAGTGATCCTCCTACCTTAGCCTCCCGAAGTGCTAGAATTACAGGCATGAGCTACCATGCCTGGCCTTCCCTTCCTTTTATATGAGTCTCAATTATTAGTTTGACATGAACATTGAGAAATCTTTTTTTGCCCCTCTAGCATACATGAAATGGATAGTAAGAAAAGCTCTGCTTGGGCTTCTTGCTGAAATCCAAGATAGTAAATGCATGACTGTAAGGAGTGTGGTCATCTTGTCCAAAGGAGAGAGACTACAAGGTGATAGAGCTCGTGCCTCTTGTCTGGACTCTTGTCTTTGCTTTTTGGTCTTTGTCAAGGTTTTGGGGGATCAGCCCTTTTCGTAGTCACTGTATCTTTTTCTTAAGAATGTTGCCCAGTGATGTGTATGTAATCATCTAATTAGAAAGGCTCTTCTCAGGCTCGGTGTCTGTAGCACAGTGGTTACAGTACTGGCCACATGCACTGAGGCTGATGAGTTTGAACCTGGCCTGGGGCTGTGCAGCTTTAGGATGTGGGGACATGTGGCTCTGTCTATGAACCTGGCCTGGGCCAGCTAAACAACAATGACAGCTGTAACAAAAATATACCTGGGCATCGTGGCAGGCGCCTGTAGTCCCAGCTACTTGTAAGGCTGAGGCAAGAGAATCACTTAAGCCCAAGAGTTTGCAGTTGCTATGAGCAGTGATGCCACAGCACTCTACCAAGAGTGACATAGTGAGACTCTGTCTCCAAAAAAAAAGAAAAAGGCTCTTGGGCGGTGCCTGTGGCTCAGTGAGTAGGGCAGCAGCCCCAAATACCGAGGGTGGTGGGTTTAAACCCGGCCCTGGCCAAACTGCCACAAAAAATAGCTGGGCCAAATTGTGGTGGGCGCCTGCAGTCCCAGCTACTCAGGAGGCTGAGGCAAGAGAATCGCCTAAAGCCCAAGAGCTGGAGGTTGCTGTGAGCTGTGATGCTACAGCACTCTACTGAGGTCAACAAAGTGAGACTCTGTCCAAAAAAAAAAAAAAAAAGGCTCTTCTCGGAGACATTGGTGTTTTTTTTTTTTTTTTTGAGACACAGTCTCACTCTGTCCCTCTGGGTAGAGTACTATGGCATCATAGCTCACAGCAACTGCCAACTCTTGGGCTTAAGTGATCCTCTTCCCTCAGGTTTTCTATTTTTAGTAGAGATGAGCACTTGCTTTTGCTCAAACTGGTCTCAAACTCGTGAGCTCAAACAATCCACTGGCCTTGTCCTCCCAGAGTGCTAGGATTACAGGCCTGAGCCCTGCACCTGGCCCATTGGTGCTTTTTACATGTTATTTCTCTGGTTTTCTAGTCAGTACCAATCAGCGTGCATTTATAGCTTTTGGATATACGTGGATATTGATGACTTCCATGCCTTTTTCCCATTACTTTGGGACCAATGTTAAGACTATAGTACTTCTGAGTTTTCCCTAACTGCCTTTTGGAATTCATAAAAATTTCATTCCCTTAGTCACATTGGTCTTTACGTGTGGTTATTTTATGGCATTGATTAAAACTGTTTTTTGTTATTGTGTTTCGTTTGTGCTTCATATTTCCATTTGAAAACAAGAACAGTAAGAGGACACAGTGCATCTCTTAACACTGTCTTTGCCTGGACTTGAGGATAATGATGCAGATTTAGATTAATTGTGTAACTGCTGAAATCTCACTCATGAGCACTCTTTTTTTTTTTTTTTTTTT